CTGTGCCCCACTTCCTGGACAAGGTATTTCCCAAGTACACTATGCCTATTTTTGAAAACATTTTGCTGTTAGGGAAAAAATTAGCATGGCTTGCCTACAAAACTACCCAGGATGGGGGTGCAGTTGGCAGACACACAGGGAAAGCGGGACAGGAACCTCCCACAGTGTTTCCAGGGCTGTCACCTCTGCGGATGTGACTGCCCCCTTGTCCTGTGGAAGAGCTAGGAGCTCTGAACTGCTGAAGGTTAGTGAGCAGTTGAGCACTTCACCACTGTACCACCAGGGCTCTTTCCTCAAAGCCGTCATGGCGTCAGTTTAGGGGACTTGCTGCCTCTGGAATGATTCATAATGTTTTATTAATATCATAACAAATATGACTGAGGCTGAGTGGGACATGCATGCTTCTCCAGAGAGTTCCAGGTAACAGGTGTTGAAAGAGATAGTTCAACATTCTCCACCTTCACCTGCCTCAATGCCTGTATGTGGATAATTATCTCATTCAGGATGGATACACTCTAATCACTGACTCTATATGACTTTGTTTTATTTAGTTATAATAATAAATACCAGTGAAACCATTACCTGACACATGCACTAGGACACAGACAATAACATTTACCTCTATTCTTCCATGCCAGTCCTTGGACACACAGCCCTGCCCCCACCACTAATCCAGAACCTGTGTTTCTCACTTCCTTGCTGTCAAAAACTGTCTACTTGGAAGCAAGTTCTTCTGTCACCTACATGCAGCAGCTGAGGTCACGTCTAGATGCCATTTACTGCAGAATTAGCCAATGCCCTACATTCAGGATCAGCCTGCAAGTGTCAGTGTCAGTTTTCAGGCAGCAGCAGGTCAGGCTATATTTAACATGCAGCCTCTTCTCGGCTGAAAAGCTGCAGCTGCGCAGCTGGTAGCTTGCAAACAAAGGAGGACAAGTGGGAGGTGCTCCCGTGATGAGTTCTAACAGGGTTCAGTTAGTTCAATCACAAATTAAGTCGACAGTCCTGAAAGGTCTAAGACAGTCTAATTCCACAATATTATAATCTTTAAAGTACAAGTGCTGACAATTTCCATGTTGCTGTCATAAAATCCACTGTTTTAATGTATACCATGTGACCAAAACAATTAAAAGCCATCATATACACCATAACGCACATATTATCAGAGCTGACACTAAAAAAGAAAAGAAAAAAGCTTACACATTACATTAGTGATTTGAAAGTAGTGAACACACTTCAGGCAGAGGCAATGAGACAGGGGTGGAGGCACTGGAAGGGAAGCAGCACCGTGGCTTTGAACAATACAGAGAAGTTCCCGGCACAGCCTCCTAAGATGACTGCTTGAAAATAGACCCTGACTCAAGTCAAAGGGGGTGCTCTGCTGTGCTTCTTACCCAAAGGAGCCCCTCTGAGGAGAGAGCCATACGAGGACAGGCAGAGAACTGTTCTGGGGTCTTTTAGAGGGAAGGCTGACAGGCGGGACCACAACCACCTCGGGGGAAATGGAGTGAGGGCAAGCTGCACAGTTTAGTCTGTAGTGTGAAACAAAAGCCAACATACAAGGGAGTCACAGAGGGGACTGCAGCTAGTCACAAATTCAAGTCGTATACACTTCAAATAGAAGCTATTTATTCTGTGACACACTTTCACCCAAACCACAATAAAGTGGTAAGAAAAACCCAAAAAAACTCCCAGGGGAACGTGACTTAGTATTACCTGTGATTCACTATAAAACCTCAGGGAATTCTGGCCAAGGAAGGGGATGGTGGAGCGGGTTCCCTTCTAGACACTACACTAGCAAGGGGAAATTAAAACACCAGACTTCAAGCAGAGGAGGAGCTACCTCAATGACAAGGGAGGGAAGAGTGAAGTTGCTGGAGAGTCTATGAGACTGGAGGTCAATGTTTCACACATGTGTAGGGCTATTATAGAAACATGCAATTTTTTTCTTCATGATTCCTGCAGTACGCGAGCCCACATGAAACAAGGACACCTGGAACTCAACAGGTCCTGAGAAGTTCCAAAGCAGCTGGAGAGGAAGTACACACAGGAATACAATATCACCAGAGACAACAAAGGGGTCGCCAGCATAAAGAAATCTTGAGAATTTATCATTTTTAAAACAGTCCTGGCCCCCTCACAAACCAAGGCTCTCTAGTAAAAACAGCATTTTCTTTTGTCTGTTCTGCTTGCTAACCCCATAAACTGGTAAGAGACATAAATGAGGATCCTGGGGAAACTACAACTGAGTGCCCTGAAATAGGAGCCAGGAGTTTGGGGCTTCGGTCTAGACATTGCCATTAACAGCATGTGTGACGACTCTGGATGAATACTGAGGCTCTGCAGAACCCAGCCTGTTGACCCATAAAACGAGGGAGTGTATTAGTTTATTTCCAGCTTGAGCTGGAATGTCAGAGCTGAAGTTCACTAGTACCTTCTGTATTAAATGTCACTGAGTTAGAATAAAAAGTTAACACTTTAATGTTCACACTACTAAAAGCATATTGGAATGATTCCTGGCTCTATCTTAAAAACTTCAAAAATAAAAAGCCTATTTTGTTCTTAACTTTAATGTGGTTAAAGGTAGTAAATAAATATAAAACAGAAATAACGTTAGCAACAACTATTAGATAATAGGTGGTGGGTATATTTAACAAGTACAAATTTTTTTAAAATTTGTGTTTTGTGGTTATAAAGTGACAATTACTTTGCACTTCAAGATACATAGAAAAGTCCAAGTAAAATTGAACTGCAAGGTTTATTTTAAGTGTTACTAATCAGTTTGGGCAGGCTCTATGACCTTTCTTCAGAAATGTCAGTGGTAGATTAAAACTGCCAACCTTTTGGTTTGTAGTCCAGAACAAACTGTCTGTGCTACCTAGAGACTAAAGAATGAGGAGGACACAGTCAAAAAACATATGTTCCAAATCTGTTTTGTAGAATAGTGGTAGTCTCCTCTCTACCTCCTGGTTCTCTGAAAGATGTGCATAATGAAAACAGCAAAATGCTTACTACCAGGGCCAATGCAAGTGTAACAGATCAGATTGCAATTGTGCATAGGCGTTCATGCAATGAGATTCTGCACACACATGGTGTGCCATTATTCTCTAAGAATCCACGGCCTGCTGCTGCTAAGAGGCAACTGTAGTCTGCAACAAAAAGAGGATTGAGAAGATCGGATTCTTAGTCTTAGGCCTGACAGTGAAGACCAACTTTCTAAGCTTCCACCCACCAAAGAGAGAAGATTGGAGGAGATTTTACAGTAGATCACGAACAGGAAAGCACTGTACGTACACACTGCCAATGTTCTTTCAGTTCACACATACATATACCTTCTGTGTCCACACAAATAACCTATCCCATTACCACATGGCTTTGAAAGCCACCCTATAGGACACCTAACTCACCCTCCAGCTGCCAATCATCACACAATCCACACCCATTTCTATGTCACTGCTATGCTGTTTGATTTGCCCTCTGATCTTCATTTACTGAAAAAACACACCCACCCTCTAAAACTTTGCTACTGAAATGTAACGTTTCCCAAGGATGCCTCAAACCTTTTTGGGAAACCAATCACATTTCTTTGCTGATATTCTAAATGTCCCCCTTTCACATCTTGGCCACAGTAACTGAGACCCGTTTGTGTTCTGACTGCAAAGTCCTGGGAGAGGGGCTGCTCTCCTCACCCCATCTGGGATTAGGAATTTAATACCAGCTTTGCAATTAAATAGTGGATTCAGCCTCTTTAGCTCTGTAAAGAGATGGGTAATCTATAATTATTTTCGTGCATAAGATTAGTACAGCATCAGAGAAAGTACTAAAATCCTATACCCCATTGTGGCAGATTTTATATCAACTTGCAACTATGTGTACGTGCAGGGGTGGACTTCAACCTACCAAATCAGGTTAACAGCCTGATGATGGCTCTTTGGGGCGTGGTCTTTTATTAAGAGACAATGGGAAGTTCTCTATTCTCTCTTGCCCATCACTTTCATCCTTACTGGGACTTTGCCTGCCTCTAGGGGTGACCCATGTGGACCACCGACCCTGGGAGCCAACTTCAGAGCTGTTGGCACCCCATCATGTTCCCATAAATCTTGGATTCATTCTGTACCCGCTGGCCTGTGATCTCCCTGCATCTCACCTTCCTGCGTCATCAGACTTTGGCTGCATGAGTCTAAAGAGGGCTCTGGTTAGCATCAAACCCATGGACTTGAGTTACACTTGACTGGGATGTTTGTTTTCTTGACATAAAATTACTTCTTATATGTATACAGTGTCACTGGTTTTGTTTCTCTAGACAACTGTTTCAGATCTTTAGAATTCTCACTTTGGAAAACAGTTAAGGTAGCTGTCACTGGACTCCTATTTAAATAAAATTTCACGTCATATCAATGAGAAAGCTAGAATACGCCTTAACGTGTTGCCTAAAGACCTTATTCTTGGGGAATTTTCAATTATTGAGATGCCTGCTATTTCAGTTTGGTCTCCAAAAAATCATAGATCAGATGTCTATATGCCAACTTAATACATTTACAGTCTCCTTGGATACCTGCGTCAACAGGTGTAGCAGCAGCGGCAGCAAACCAATCCCCTCTTCTACCATCACTGCTACCCAACTCAGCAAGCTAGAAGGGCCACAAGGCAGAGCTGATTCATTACTTGTATGAAACGACAGTGCAGAGACTCTTATCTTAATGCACTCCTACTACTGCCACGATCATCTCTGTGCTTTGCAAGTGAAGGCACTTTATAATATTTATGAAATTAACACCCTTGAATTCTATTCTCTAGACTTCATTATATTTTTTAGAAGATGCCCTACTTAGCAATGACGATTAGTAAAAAATAGACTTCAAAGATTTTTCAAATTTATTCTCCAAGTTATAAATTGACATTGACTTCAAATAGCAGTAACTTATTAAAAGGCCACATGCCACTAAACAACACATGATCAATTGAATTTCATTGTTTCACGAACACAAAGATGAACTTACCATCATCTAGAGTGATGTCCTGTAGGCCAATGGTTGCAAAGTTAGGCTCCCGATCTTCAGGTTCAGGTTTAATGCTCACAGTTGCCCCATCAGGTGAAAATGAAGTTGTGTCACACAAACTGTGACATATTAAGGTTGAAGGTGCAGGAAGACCTCCCTGGCCTGTACTTTGTGCTTGAGTTGTGTGCTGTCCAGAATGCATCCTGGTGGCTGAAGACGGTGATGAGGCAGTTCCTGAGCTAGGAGACTGGTAAGGCATAGGCTGCAGCTGAGGAGACGGTGGGCCAGAAAGTGGTGAACTGGCCAGGGGATGAGAGGCTGCAGGGGAAGCTGTTGAAGGAGACCCTGAATGTGAAGAACCATATGTAATGGGCTGTAACTGAGGGGATGGCTGCCCTGTGACCTGGTCAGGGACCGGAGAAGAAAGAGACCTTTGTCCTACATTTGAACAATGATATCCCATCGACTGCAGATGAGGTGGGGTCTGCACAGAATGAGGTGTATGTGCTAAGAGATGTCCTGTTGAGCCTGAATTTGAAGAATGAAATGGTATGGATGACAGTGGTTGACAGCTAAGATTTATTAAACTAGGAGCAGCTGCATCCTGCTGGAACAAAATTGAATCAAATTCTTGAGGAGAGGCAGCATTAAGAGGAAGACAAGTTGGTCCATTGTACACATTAGTTTGCATAGGCTGGTAGGAAGACCCCACAGGAGGTGTAGGTGTGACTTGAAAAGCCTGGTGTACCACTGGAGAAGGCAGCATATGCTGTTCTTTACCAGCACTCTCATCCCTACATTGCAACTGTGGCAGATGGGAGGAGGTTACCATTGATACATATGCTTGCTGGACAGGACAAACCAAGCTTCTCTGTGCTGACAGAACACTATCATGTGGGTGCCCTGGATCTGAGGAAGACCTCTGGGCCTGGGCAGGATGAGGCACAGGCAAAGATGGAACTGAAGACAAGTCAATCTCTTCCCTGTGTTCTTGTTTCATCAAAACTGAAAAGCAAATGATTAAATAAAATGTTATTTCAAAAAACAGAAAATAATTATGACAGACCTTCATTCTAGGCTACAAAACTTTAGTGTGCATTCAAGTCAAAAGTTAAAGATTCAAATGCCCTTAGGGAAGACTCAAAACCCATGGCTACCAAGTTTATTCCAAATCACAGTGGTACTCCTTAGGGTTTCTAAGACTATATACCTTTGGGAAGGCGGCAGCCTCATCATTCTCCTTTGGAGGGGATGGTGAATTTGAACTGTAGACCTTCTGGTTAGCAGCCCAACACCTAACCCACAGTTCCAGCATGACGAGAGAGTGGTTCTAGCTCTTAAGGTATTCAAGTTTAAATCAGTAACAACAACACTGCATAGAGCTTTTTGAAATGATAAGAAAAGATCTCTAAGATACGTTGCTAAGTGACAAAAAACAAGTTGCAGAAATAATATGTATAATACATGACTTATTGGTGATACTGGGAGGGTGGGGTGGAAAGGGACAGCCGATTACAAGAATCTACATATAACCTCCTCCCTGGGGAGCGGACAACAGCAAAGTGGATGAAGGGAGACGTCAGACAGTGTAAGACATGAAAAAATAATAATTTATAAATTATCAAAGGTTCATGATGTGGAAGGGGCAGGGAGGGAGGGAGGAAATGAGGAGCTGATACCAAGGGCTCAATTAGAAAGCAAACGTTTTGAGAATGATGATGGCAACAAATGTACAAATGTGCTTAACATAATGGATGGATGTATGGATTGTGATGAGAGCTGCATGAGTCCCCAATAAAATTATTTTAAAAAGAAAGAAACTGCTGAGTTTGCATCTGGAAAGGGAAAGTAGTTGGCTAAGGTACAGAGAAGGGAGTTTTACTGTTTGCTTTTTGTGTCTTTTGAGGTTTTTTTCACCATGCACATTAATCAAGGCCCCTTGGTGGCACACTGTGTTAAGCACTGAGCTGTCCACCGAAAGGCCAATGGTTTGAACCTACCAGCCTCTCTGCAGAAGAAAGGTAGAGCAGTCCGCTTCCTTAAAGATTTACAGCCTCAGAAACCCTGTATAGTAGTTTCCCTCTGCCCTATATATAGAGTTGCTATGAGTAGGAATCAAAATTATATAGAGGTTAACGTATTTTTTTTTTTAAGCCATTAGAAAAGAAGCCTTTATGGTGCCGCAATTAAAACACTCAGCTGCTAACCAAAAAGCTCAATGGTTCAAACCTCAATAGTGTGTCACAGGATAAAGGTGTGGCTATTGGCTTCTGTAAAGATTTACTGCCATTAGAAACACTGAACTTTTATCAGTCATTTGGTTTTGCAGGTTTGCAGATTTATGTAAGAAATCACAAATCTGACGTTTATAGGGCTTCTATGTTTTCCACCTGACAGTGGGAGTAGTGGAGAGAATCAAAAGTAGTACTGGAAAAAAAGTCAATGCTATCATCTCATTCAATCCTTATACTGTTTACAAGAAACCTAGCTACAGGAACTATTATGGTCAATACATTTATTTCTATACACAAGAGCACGTACCACAAAAGGGAATACCCCTCTAAAACACAATACATACTTATTTTGGTCATGAAATTGCTCATGGAGTTCTGAAAGCATGCAATGAAATATGTTTATTATGTGCACACCATTGGCAAGTCACTGGGAGGATGCTGGGACACAATGATCAGTCAAAACAAATTTCAAACATCTTGACAGGATGTGGCAGCAAATGGGCCATCACTCCGGATGCAGACACTCAGTTTCAGCTCTGCTTCAGAAGAAGGGCATCCCTTAGGAACAGGGTTTTTTGTTTGTTTTAGGGGCCCCAAGGGTGGAGCAGGTAATAATAGAGGCTAATGTACATTAAGCATTATTCTGGGGAAGGCTCTGTATTGGGCACTTTATATGCATTATCAAATTTAATTGTGGATACCCATCCCTGCCAGCCCCACCCCTCCCTTTAGAGAATTTCCTTTCCCTAGGCTTCCTCACTTTAATGGACATGTCAATCACATGGCTCAATTACTGTACCGTGGGTCAGCGGGCCCCTTCAGGTGGACCAGTCATAGCAGTCCACCTCCTTTCCCCATAGAAAGACTGGGGTTTGAGTTGGGTTTCTGTCATTTGCAACTGAAAGATCCCAATTCACTTCAAGACCAACTTTATGATGTAGGGATTTATCATCATCCTACTTTATAGACTAGTACAGGCAGTCCTAGGTTACAAAAGAGGGCCTTTCCTAAACATGTCTTTTAAGAATTTGTAGGTCAGTGAGAACAGGTGCATATAGTTCGTAGTTTTGTTTTAGTGCAAGAAAAAGTTTGGCACTTTCTCAGTGATTTAAAAGCTGCACACACAATAAGTGTACAGGAGTGTGATGAAGAAATTATCCTTCTTCTGACTGGTTCAATTGCTTCAAAGTGAGGGCAAATTATGTAACATTAAAGAAGGGTTTTGAAACCATATTGCCCTGGCTCAGTGAGGGCACACAATTATGTTGCTCTGAATGTGTGTGGCTCTCCACAGTCCTAACAATAATTTAATCTCATATATCATCTTCCAGAAAGGTCTTAGTACAGCTCTCCTGAGTCACCCAGGCCAGGGCTTTCAACAGTAAAATGCCCCATTCCAGTTCTGATCACAAATCAATTGTAAAAATTCAGGTCTGTTCTTGGTTGACTTTGTTGGCCATGACAGAAACCGTTTTGAAGCACTCTGTAAGCTGGATGTTTGCAACCCACAGATGCCAGTCCACTGAACACGAAAGACATTTCCTGAGCTCTCACTGCACCACCACCAGTCTAGTTACACAAGCCCCAGACAGGGCATCCTTTACTCCACCCTCCCTCTCACATAACCACCCCCACAGCCAACCCATGACTTAGCTCTACAGACTTTATCTAAATGGCCTTGAAAGCCAAATACATTTCTCCACTGCCACCACACTGGTTCAAATGCCTATCATCTCACCTCAGACAATGGTGCAAGCATGCTAAATGATCTCCATGACTTTACTCTAGCCCTAGAAATTCATTCTCCATAGTTATTAATTTGAGAAAGGACTCAGCTGATCATTGACATTTTACAAAGAGGTGGGAACGAATTGGAGAAAATTCTTTTTGGAAGATAAATCTAATATGCCACCTCCTTGTTAAAGTTCATTTCTTCCACCTCTTTTAATTCTCAAGGTCCCAACAGCCACCAGCCTTTGGATATGCTGATGTGTTCATATTATCTATACTGGATTGTCTGGATTCAATCTCTCCTCTGCCACATTAATATTAGTTTTGTCCCCTGAGTTCATTTATTTGTAAAACAGTCCCATGTGGAATTACAGGAAAACAAATGCATCGTCATATGTGCATTTATAAGCGCACAAAAAATGTTCCGTATGTTTACTACATAAACAAATCTGAGATGCACTCTGGCATAACAGTTATAAGCTCAGATTCTGGGGCCGAGCTGTTTGCATGTGAATTTTGGCTCTAGAATTGTAAATGCTTCAAGATCTTGAGCATGTTCTTACACAGCCACTATGTTTCTTCATCTGTAAAACAGAACAGTAACATAATGTACTTCAGAGACGATTATGAAGGTAAAATTACTTTATAATGAACTTACACCAGTACTAAGAACATAGCCTATGTTATGTAAGTACTAATTATTACTGAAGAAAAGCTGATATACTTTATTTGTTGGCAAAGAATACTGTAAAGTACCATGGATTGCCAGAAGGACAAACCAATCGGTCTTAGAGGAAGCAGAGCCCAGAATGCCCTCCGAGTGAGGACGATGAGACTTGTCATATGGACTTTGAACATGTATCAGGATTGACCAGCACTTCAGTGCTGCTTCTTGACTACAAGCCATTTAAGAGTTTTCTGCAAGAGTAAGTTTTGAAGAGTAAAGCTCAATATAAAAAATTAAAAATCCTACGGCTTGGTAACTACTACAGAGGGTCTCTATAATAACTGGTTGTTCTAGTCTTGGATGGTGTAGTGGTTACACATTGGGCTACTAACTGAAAGATCAGCAGTTCAACATCATCAGTTGCTGAGGCTCTTTAATTATGAAGAGTTACAGTCTTGGAATCTCACCTGGGCAATGCTACCCTGTTCTATAGGGTCACTGTGAATTAGAATCGGCTTGATGGCATTAAGTTTAATTTGGAAGCATATAACCAAGGCACCCCAATGATACGGTTAGTTATGCATTAGGCTGCTAAATAAAAGGTTGGTGGTTTGAGCTCACCAACCACTTGGGATAAAGACGAGGCAGCCTGCTTCTATAAAGCTTCCTAGCCTTGCAAAGTCTAAGGAGCAGTTTTACTGTCCTATATGGTTCCTATATGAGTCCGAAATGATTACATAGCAGCAGGTTAAGGCTATATAGTCATCAGCATGAATTATTGCTTATAATATTTATATCATAATCAATAATTGGAAAATTACATCACTTTAAACTGCTGCAAAGTGTGGAAGCCTCCTTTGATGAGGTAGAAAATCTATAAAACCAAGATCTTTGGCATCAACTTTTTATCTCCTCCAGCCCAGAGGAAGGTCCAGTTGCTCCTTGCCAACTGAAAACCTACGAAGACTTCATCTGATTGGATTTGGTTGATGAGAGATACTGTGAGGTAGGCAAGCAAGTTACTTTCCTACAGTGCTAAGGCACAGGGGAGTTCAAAACCCAGGAGACCACGTGTATTCATAAACACATACCTTTTGGTAGTGCTGGTGATTTCTGGTAGCTCCTTAAAGAAAAAGACTTCAAATCTATTATGTTTTAAAATTTCCTAGACTATAAAACTGCTATCACATCTAAAATTTAAAGTTCACATCAATGTCACAGATTTTATGTAGGAATTCTCGCTTATCAGCTCCCTGTTTTAGACATTCTGATATAGGCCTTATCAAGCAACTTTTTATTTATTATGAAAAAAAGTTCCAGAAGAAACCATCACAACAACACTTGTACCTGGTGTGTAAGTAAAGCGTTGAGACTGGCTTTTTTTCCTCTTGCCATTGCAAAGATAAAAGTGCACCTGCACTGCAGCTGTAACTGTTGGGTTATGATATGGAGGAACTTCAAGGACAATGTGAGCCTAAGGAGAATGGAAAAGAAGATTGAGTTACACGCCGAACTAAAAATGAAATGCACCTGCTAAACGCAACATAATTCATGAGTTTGAGCTTCAAGGCACATCGGCTGCTCATGAAACTCCTGTGGAGATCTACACATGGCTACTTCAGTCTTGGCACAAGACTTAAAGGGTCCTTCAAATGAATCATTAAAAAAGAAGAAACTCTTTTTATCTGCCTAATTTTATCTGCCTGTAGCAGAAATAAAATCAGTCTGAGAAATGAGATACTTTAATGAGTATTAGATGCTGCCCAACTGGAAATCAACTCTGGTTTTTACCATGTTTAACATTTCCCAGGTTAAATAGTTTCACATTTTTTCTATGTAGTTTTATTGGCATATACACTTAGCATATTAGACTAGTTCAATCATATTATGAAGAGTTGGATAACCACCACCACAATCAATTTCAGAACATTTTCTTCTCATGTTGTTGTTAGCCTTCCATACAGTTTAGAGCTTACCTTAAATTTTATATTCAAGGTGTTCTAAATACACAAAATCTGTGTCCACCTAAAAAGTTTTATATGGTGAACACTTTTAGTTCCAAACAAATGCAATCCTTAACCTAATCTCTCCAAGTTTTTGGAGAACAGTGTGGAAAATGGTATTCTCTCCTCTAGGGAAAACTGTCTCCATTTCAACCAGGATGAACGGAGTGCAGCGTCTCAGTGTGGATTTCGGGAAGGCTTTACTACAGCAGCTGAAGAGTTAGGAAGTTAAAAACACACACCCCTGGAGGTTTGTCCTCCTCTTGTCTTTTGCCACTATATATGTTCTTTGCTGAAAATAATTGTTAATTGTATTCTGAGAAATAACTAACTCCAATAAGAACCTACTGATAATCTTTCATTTCTAATTTTCCTATACACACAAAAAAGGGGAAGACAGACCAACTGTTTATTTTTCCTAAGCTTTACTTTGAATAATAGGAATGTACTTCTAAGCTTCTAAAAATTCTAATTTACTTTTCTATTATTACTCAATAGAGAGACTCTTTTATCTGTAGCATAAGACAAAATTGTTCAATTTCCTTATAAAACTGCTTAAAGAAAGTAAATTTCTCACCCCTTGGCATTTTTCCCTGATTATTTTCCCTTCTACCTCCCATTGAGGTCGACCATCTGTTGAAAGAAACAATATGACAGTTAAAAAATAATTCAAGTCAGAAAGCATACAAACGAAATCTAATGCACGTATCACAAATGCATTGGTGATTTATGAATTCCATTCTGAAAATAAAATGTGTATCCATGAAATAAAAAGGAACGAGGACTTAATGCCGGGAGCATTAGTGGAGAGGAAATGTTTTGAGAATGATGAGGGCAATGAATGTACAAATGTGCTTTACACAGTTGATGTGTGTGTATGGAGTGTGATAAGAGTTGTGTGAGCCCCTAATAAAACGACTGAAGGAAAAAAGGAACAAATGGAAGAAAGAGCTTAGACGGTACGGTAGTGACCTACTTTCATGTCAACTTGTGGATTCCTAAGAGTGCACTGGTGGAGTTTAGCCTGTTAATTAGGTCACAGCCTGATGGCAACTCCTTGTGGGCATGGCATCATAAGAAAGGTCCTGGGAACCCCACCCCTCACACTCCTCTGCCTTCACCTTCTTGCTGACCAGGCACCCTGGGACCTGTGAGAGCCCTGTGATGCTTCCACCGCCATTGCATCTATACTCTGCACCCACCGGCCTGTGATAATCCTGCATCCTGCATCACTGTAAGTGATTTCTTGAGTCTGAAGAGGGACTTAATCTAGACTGGGCAGGGATGCATATACATATAATTACGTTTAAAAATAATTATTTCGAGAGAAAATGTTTTGAGAAACGATGTACAAATGCGCTTTACACAGTTGATGTGTGTATGGATTGGGATAACAGTTGTATGAGCCCCTAATAAAATGTTAAAAAAGAAAAAAAATAATAATTATTATTATTTCTTGATATAAAGCTCTCACATATATTTGAGAGTTTCAATTAATTTTTTTTTTTTTCATGATCCAAGTGAGTTTTATGAGCACTCGAAGGAGTTTCAGGTTTACACGGGCACCCATAGGACTCCTCCCAAACATGAAGCCTGCCTGGAAGCTGCTCGCAGAGTCCATGTAAAGTCTCCCAGGGTCCTCCCAAAGTTCTTCCAAAGTTCTGACCGAGTTTCAATGAATTTGTTTCTCTAGTCAACCTGGCCTAACATAAGTTGTTGAGTTTAAATTGCCTCATAGTATGTTCAACCTTCCGTCCAAGTGGTGTGAGAAAGCCCTCCAACGGTACCCCACCAAACATGGCCCCGCGTTTGCTTGTAAGCCTCATGTTCCTCACCAAGTAACTGACCACCCATTCCACCTTTGCACACCTGCTGGAAAGCTCTTCATAAATGAAATGTTTCTTTTAAGAACCAACCACTAGATCTATATACTACTCCTTGTGGCCATTCAACAAAAAACAGAACAAAACAATGTCTGTGAAGGAGCCCTGGTGGTGCAGTGGTTAAGTACTTAGCTGATAATCACAAGTCAGCAACACAAAGCCACCAGCTACTGTGAGGGAGAAAGGTGTGGCAGTCTGCTTCGGTCAAGATTTACAGCCTTGGAAACCCAATGGGGCAGTTCTGTTCTGTCCTATGACGTCACTATGACTTGGAATCACCTCAACTAGGATGGGTTTGGTTTTAGTTTCTCTGTGAGACAGGATTTCAGGTGTTTAAAAGCAGCTATATCATGTTTGCCTGCATCTCTCCTCTTCTACTGGCTACCATTCCCAGTTCGGCACTTACAACACAGCATTTTAACCTGCCTGGTAACCCCTTTGGACTTGCTCCTTCAGTGTGCCCATCTCCCTGCAAACACACCAGGCCCAGACCCGAATAGTCCAGGTTGGAAATGATTCAGCTTAATCGAAGAGAGTGACTCAGGCTCTCACTGCCTCAGTGAAGATGTCTCTATTAATGAAAGCTTTCTCATCTCAGTAATCCTCACCCTATGTGTACAGACAAGTATTCTTCTGGTCACCACACTTCTTACTGCCACCAAGCTCAAGCATCCTAGTCAGGGTCTTTCTGATTCTGCTAGTTTTCCATAGGCTTTCCATAATTGTGTCACCTGAAAATCTGACCGGTCCACTTCCTATCTCTTCATCCAAATAATGCAGAGTACTGGTCATCTGGGAAGAACTCCATCTACTAGTTTTTACCCCAGCACCCCCAGTTCTCCATGTATCATATAATAGTATTTTAGCCTTCCTGCTATATTGGAAAGTATTCTTTTTCTGGAATAGGCATTCACCTAGTGACTAACTCATATAAGCCTCTTAACAGTCCCCATGACTTCCTTCATCATCTAGTAAAGACTTCAGAAGAGACATCATCAAATGCTTTTCAGTAACTAGAGAATAACCCTCTCTGGGGCATTGGAGAGAATATATGCAAGTGCTGCTCACACTTAAAGAGTTATAGTTAAATTCATCAATCTCCAAGTTCAGCTACGCACATTGGATTACAAGATTATGGAGACAGGATTTCCTACCTGTCACTCTGTAGATGAAAGGCAAATACAAGCAGTTCATTATCATAAACTGTGATAGGTACAATGATTAATAAAGGTGCTCTCTGGATGTACCAAGAGCACAGAGGTCAGGATCCTTCATCCAGTCTTGGGGTGACTTCTTGGAAGAGTGTTTGAACTGAGGCATAAAGATAAAGTGATACGGTGGAAGGGAAGTTTAGGCAGAGAAGAAACAGATGAGCAAAGACAGACAAGAAACCACATGATCTAGGGAGCTATGCTGAAAAAGTATACCTAAGAAACGAGGCTGGAAAGATTAGAAATAGACTAGGCCTGAAGGTCCTACTAAGGAGTCTGAAAACTGAAGGGGCTCCTCAAAAGTGCTTTTAGAATCAGTGCTACTTGTACATACCTCAACCTCATCAGAGGCCAAAAACTGCCACCATTTAATATGATCCAACTTAAATCAAAAGCTTTGGAATTCTACAGTGAACAGTCTTATACACACATTATTTATGGCATTGAGACACAAATGAGTTTGTTTTTTACAGTAGAAAGGAGGGGTAGTGAATTAGTTAATTGTGCCAGCCTGGCCGATAATCACATGTGGGGCTGGTTGAAAGGCGGAGGGATACATGGGTGGTGAAGCCTCGCCTTTCTAGTTCTCGG